ATAAATACCCAGCAGTGGAATAGCTGGATCGTATGGTAGTTCTATTCTTAATTTTTTGAGGAATCTCCATATTGTTTTCCATAGTGGTGGCACCAGTTTGGACTCCCACCAGCAGGTATGCGAGTTCCCTTCTCTCCACATCCTCTCCAACACTTGTTGTTTCCTGTCTTGTTAATCATAGCCATTCTGATGGGAGTGAGGTGATATCTCATTATAGTTTTGATTTGCATTTCCCTGACAGTTAATGGTGTTGAACATCTTTTCATGTGCCTGTTGGCCATCTGTATATCTTCTTTGGAGAAATGTCTGTTCAGGTCTTCTGCCTATTTTTTAAGTGGGTTGTTAGTTTTTTTGTATGAGTTCTTTATATATTTTGGATATTAACCCCTTATCAGATATATGGTTTACAAATATCTTCTTCCAATTGTTAGGTTGTCTTTTCGTTTTGTTGATGGTTTCCTTGGCTATGCAGAAGCTTTTCAGTTTGATGTAGTCCCTTTTGTTTATTTTTTCTGTTCTTTCTTGTTTTTTAATGTAAGCATTTATACCTATAAGTTTCCTCCTTAACACTGCTTCCACTGTGTCCCATAAGTTTTGGTGTGTTGTGTTGTTGTTTTCATTTGTCTCTAGGTATTTCCTGATTTCCCTTGTGATTTCTTTTGTGGTTGTTTAAGAATGTGTTGTTTAATTTCCATAATTTTGTTATTTTCCAGTTTTACTTCTGTTATTGATTTCTGACTTCATCCCATTGTGATCAGAGAAGATACTTTGTAGGATATCAGTCTTTTTAATTTGTGGCCTAATGTATGGTTTGTCCTGGAAAATGTCCTATGTGCGCTTGAGAAGATTTGCATTCTATTATTGGATAGATTGTTCTGTATGTGTCTGTTAGATCTAGTTAGTTTATTGTGGTGAAGTCTCCAACTCTTATCGTAGAACTGTATTTCTCCTGTCAATTTTGTCAGTTTTTGCTTCATGTATTTTGCTGGTCTGTTATTAGGTGCTTAAATGTTTATAATTGTTATATCTTCTTGCTGTCTTGAAACTTTTATTAATATATAATATCTTTCTTTTTCTCTTGTCACCTTTTTTGATTTAAAGTCTAATTTGTCTGCTATTAGAGCCACCACTAGTCTCTTTTGGTTACTATTTGCATGGAATATCTTTTTCTATCCTTTCAGTTTCAATCTTTTTGCATCTTTGGTATACAGAGAGTCTCTTGCAGAGAGCCTATGGTTGGATCATGTGTTTTTATCCATTCTGCCAGCCTCTGTCTTTTGGTTGGAGAGTTTAATCCATTTACATTTAAAGTAATTACTGATAAGGAGGGACTTCTGTCGTTTTGCTATTTGTTTTCTATATGCCTTATAGCTTTTTGGCTCTCATTTCCTGCATTGTACTGTCTTCTTTTGTGTTTTGTTCATTTTTTTGTAGTGAAATGTTTCAGTTCCTTCCTCATTTCCTTTTGTGTATATTCTCTAGCTATTTTTCTCGTGATTAGCATGAGGATAACAGTTAATATCCCAGTTATAATATTAATTTGAATTTATACCAGCTTAACTTCAATAACATTCACAAACTCTGCTCCTTTAACAGCTCTGTCCCCAACCCTCTCAGTTGTTGATGTCACAAAATTACGTCTTTATATATTATGTGCCCCAAAACGTAGACTAATAATTTTTTCAATGCATTAGTCTCTTAAAATGTATAGAAAACAAATGAAGTTATAGTAATACTAGCTTTTAGACTAACATTTCTTTTTAAATACATTACTCTCATAAATCATGTAGAAAACAAAAGGTGGAGTTACAAACCATTGTTACAATAACACTAGCTTTTATAAATTGCCCATGTACTTACCTTTATTGAGATCTTTGAGCATTTTTAAGACTCTTGAAAGGCCTCTGTTTAGTAGATCTGCCATCACATCTTTTTCAGGGACTGTTTCTGTTGATTTATTTTTTTCCTTTGAATGGGCCATACTTTCCTGTTTCTTTGTATGCCTTGTGATGTTTTTTCGAAAGCTGGACATTTGAATCTAATATTGGTGGTAACTCTGGAAATCAGATTCTCCCTGTACCCCAGGGTTTGCTGGGTTTTGTGTTTGTTTGGGGGTTTTTATCATAGACTATCTGTGTGCCAAGGATCAGCCTGAGGTATAAACTTAAGGTCTTCTCAGCTCTTTTCTGAGCCTGTACCTTTACCTGGACCTGTGCAGTCACTTTCTAATTTTCCCCATATATGCAGTTGCTTTTGGATGTCGTAGTCTTTTTTTTTTTTTTAATTGTTACTTCATCATGAACACCTTTTTATTTTTTATATATTTATGTATGTATGTATGTATTATTTATTTTGTGAGGAAGATCACTCCTGAGCTAACATCCAATGCCAATCCTCCTCTTTTTGCTGAGGAAGATTGGCCTTGGGCTAACGTGCGTGCCCATCTTCCTCTACTTTATATGGGACACCGCAATAGCATGGCTTGACAAGCGGTGCATCCGGGGGCGCCTGGGATCCAAACCTGCGAACCCTCAGGCTGCTGAAGCAGAGCGCGCGCACTCAACCGCTGTGCCACCGGGCCAGCCCCTGGATGTCATAGTCTTTAGTGTCTACTTCCAAAAGGAAAAAAAGAGAAAAATGAAGCAGGGGGAGTGGGGTGAAAGGGTGCCAGCCCTTTAAATCTCCTGGAAGTCACTTCAGGCAGAGGAAGAGGAGCTTGCAACAATGGGGGAAGATGTAACAACAATGGGGGAAGATGTAACAACAATGGCCACCCTCCTCTTTGTCTGCACCTCTGTGATCAGAAACAGTGATCAGTGATGAGAGCACAGATCCCTGACATTTGGAGGACTGGATCCTTTGTGTCCACTCTGACTCCCATAAGCTGTGTGTAAGCTGCTCCAGGAACATGTGCACAGCTGCCTTGCCCGGTGAATGAGTGGTGGGGGATGGGTAGCTGCTACTGTGCTAACAGCTAAAATTGACCAAAATTAACCACAATTTACCATCCAAGCCCTCAATAGACTCTAAGTTTCTATAATAGTTAGACAGATTTCTAGTTTTTCACAATTACAAACTGTAGCAATGAACATGTCTCCTCATACACTATTGTGAGAGTTTCTCTAGGCAGATGCACAGGTTCGTTTGTTTGTTTGTTTTTGGTGGATGATATATGCAGTTTGGATAAACTCAGTTGGTCTGAAGTAGGCCTAGGCGTGAATACTTGTTAAATTTTCCAGGCACTTGTCACTTGCACCTAGGATAGCAAATCATTGCTCTCCTGTACATACCTAAAAGGGAAATTGCGAGGTCAAAGAGTACGTGCATTTTAAATCACCACAGATACGAGTTTGCTTATTTTTGCACACCTTTAATAACACAATTTAGTAATTTTGATAACATTGTATCTCATAATTCTGATCTGCATTTCACATAAATTAGGCTGAGCATCTTTTCATTTGTGTAAGAGCTAATTGTGAACTGTCTTTTTACAGTTTTAATTTGAGTTTATACCACTAAGATTTTTTTTTCCCCATTATTAAGTTCTACAAGTTATAGTACGTTGCTAGAAACAGTGGTCCACAACAGAAATCTTTCTTTTACAGTATTTTGATTTATTCAAGGGAGAGAACTGGGAATGGTAGCCTCTGGAGTTACTCAGGCCCTCTCTTCATTTGCATAGATTGTCAGATTTTGCGATATTACAAAATAATTATAAAGACAATAAAATTACCACTATATCTGCACTATCCAGTAGATTAGCCACTAGTCACATATGGCCATTAAGCACTTGAATGTGGTCAGTCCAAACTGAGGTATGCTGTAAATATACAAAGTAGATTTCAATGACTTAATACAAAAAAAGAATGTAAAATATCCCTTCAGTAACTTTTTTATATTGATTATATGTTGAAATGATAATATTTTGGATGTGTTGGGTTAAATAAAATATTAAAATTTCACCTGTTTCTTTTTTCTTTTTCATTTTCTTTTCGATATGGCTACTAGAAAATTTAAAATGACGTGTGTAGCTGGCATTTTATTTCTTTTAGACAGTGCTACTCTAGACTGATTTTATAAATATCTTGCATAAGTTGTAACTCTAAAGCCATGGTGACAAGTAGGTAACATACATACTTTGTACAAAATCTCCCTCTAAATTGCTGATTTTGAAATTGAAGTCATGAAAGACAGATTGAGCAGATAGAGCCCTTTGGGAGTCACCAGTTATTAGTCCACTCGCCCTGTGATCCTTTTGATATCTGCAGTTGGCAAGTATAAAATCCCACCAGGATGGGGGGAGTGGGGAGGAATGCACTGGTTATTTGGCTAAAAAAGAAGTGGCAGGAATTTTATTTTCCCAATATTCCTAATAGTGAGACTTCCTACCCTGTGTGTAAACTTTTAGGGCAGCACCAGGTCTCCTTATTTGTATTTCTGCGTATAGATGGCACCTATTAAATGCTGATGGATGTGAACCCCAGCTTTGGTTTCTGAGCAAGAGAATTTCTGAGGCTCCGTGGTGTGTAGTCCTTTATGATAGGGACTTGGCTACTGGTCTGTTGTGGTTCATTCTGATAGACATTTGAAGGAAAATCAACTAAGATAATAACAGATGTAGTTTCAGTTCGTCTGTCAGCTGTTAAAGGAAAGGAGGCTGTGGAGGGCCAAAGGAATCTTGACCAAGTTTAGAAACTTAAACTGCAGAAAAGTTGTTTCCCAGCACTCCAACATGGGCCTGCACCTGTAGCTCTCGTCAGTACATTTAGGGAAACATTTTCTATCACACTCTTGACCTGAATAAAGGGCTCAAAGGAAAGAACACGCCTTTCTAATCCTGAGAAGTAAAGCTCAGGGAAGCTGTCTTTTTGGAAAGTGGAGAACAGAAGCAATAGTCATTGGGTGACGAGTAATAAACTATACATAAGAATAGGGTTAACCTAATAGAGTTTCTCAGTTTGAACTATTATATACAAAGACTTCCTTTGATTTCTCTTTAGGGGCAAGCTGTGTGTGATTGAGTGGAAGACATCGGAGAAACCAAAACCTTTTATCCGAAATACATTTGACAACCCGCTGCAAGTTGTGGCATACATTGGTGCCATAAACCATGATGCCAACTATAGCTTTCAGGTCAGGACACTGAGCCTCTACTTAATGCTTTGGTTGATGCTTGTTTATAGCTACTTAACTCCTGATAGTTTTTGTTCTGTTTGTGTCCCACAGCTTACTCTGTTCTTTGTTCTTTCACCACTTTAAAAAGCACTCCCCCCCCCCGCCCCCCGCTTCCTGGGGTTGTTGTTAATAATTCTTTACTGATCACAGTCCCTTCTTCAATGTCTTAACTGTTATCTTTATGTTGTTACACGCCCTGGTGCCATCTTTCATCAACCTATCTTATAAACTGAGTTAGGAGATTTTACTGTAGATTGTTTTGTTCTGAGTTTGCCCTGGAGTAAGAAGGAAATGAACCTAAACTCTGGTCTTATTGTAGAAATACTGGAATTGCCCTGTGTTTCTTCCTAGGTTCAGTGTGGCTTAATTGTGGTAGCCTACAAAGATGGATCCCCTGCCCACCCACATTTCATGGATGCTGAGCTCTGTTCCCAGTACTGGGCAAAGTGGCTTCTTCGACTAGAAGAATATGCAAAGAAGGAAAAGAACCAGAATATTCAGAAACCAGATTAGGGGGCAGGATGCTGTTTGAGAACATTCAGCCCTTTCCCACAGTTTGGGAAGGTATATCGCTGTTTACTATGATCTAAAAATGGAGATGCTACAGGATCTGAGAGCTACATTAACACAAGTGGAAATATTAATTGTTGAAATTCATTGCATCCAAAAAGATTGAAAAGCCAAAAAAGTTTAGATTTAAAGAGCTGGACTTCAGCACATAAAACACCAACTATGATACCTCTGACTATTATTTACCTGAAGAAAGGGCAAGCAGGATTGGCACAGCGTGGGTGGCTCTTGGACTTTCTGTAGACCATTCTGGGTCCCTGGCAGGACGCACAGTCTCTGAATTGAGATTGGAGGGCAGTGAGGCTTGGTGTGCCAAGCACTTCCCCAGGGTACACCAGAAGGGAAGGGGCCTTGCAACCCCAGGGTGTGTGTGGAGGGAGAACTCCCATCAGCCAACTACCACTGCCAGTGCAGTTTCATAAAACGTGTTTTATATATTGGGGTTTTCTATATATTTCATTTGGGGAAAAAATTTTCATTCAACATTTTTGAAAAATAAATGTGTCATTCCTTAGACTCAAGTAAACATTGCTGTCTAGAAAGATGGAAGGTATTCACCATGTTGTTGGCAATACCCCATGGCGTACCACCAAATAATCCCCAGAAGTAGCCAGACCCCAATCTGAAAATCATAATTATAGGTATTTTAGTAGCTATATTCTGGTTTGAGTCAATGAATCATGAAAATAGAGAAAATGTATTGTTTGTAGAATTTTTCAACTATGGAGGACAATAATAAAATCTATTAATTTTTTTTTTGTTTGATAGGTAATAAAAATTATTAGTTGTTACTGGGTTTGGAAAACTTAAATGCCCACTATAGCCTTGTTGGGGGGGGGTCCCTGTTTTATGGAGTGGGTTAGCATTTAAGTTACAGTTGCTGTCATAAAACAGTAGGGTGCTAGTTACTTTTTTTCTTTCATTAGCTATTAATTATAAGAAATAAAATGTGAGTAAAGTAATGAGGCTTTTGGTTTTGTTTCTTTTATTTAAATTTGTGTGTTTATAGAATAATTTCATAAACCTGAAAACTGTTTAGATTTTGTTTTTAAATTTAGAATTTTACCGCTGGCCCAGTAGCTTTGGTATGTGTTCTGTGTAAATGGCGTACAAGAAGGAGGTATCCTCGGGGCCAGCCCGTGGTGTAGCGGATAAGTGCGCCCGCGCTCCGCTGCTGGCAGCCTGGGTTCGGATCCTGGGCGTGCACTGATGCACCGCTTGTCAGGTCATGCTGTGGCAGCGTCCCATATAAAGTAGAGGAAGATGGGCACGGATGTTAGTCCAGGGCCAGTCTTCCTCAGCAAAAAGAGGAGGATTGGCATGGATGTTAGCTCCGGGCTGATCTTCCTCCCAAAAAAAAAGAAGGAGGTATCCTCAACCATGGTTACCTGGCCAGGAAAGAAAGATTCAGATGGGAGAGAGGAGGATTGAGGGAGACCTTTTGTTGACTCGATACACTTCTGCATTTTTTTCAAGCAACATATATTCCTGTAGCCTGTAATTTCCAAAGCCAGAAATCAAGTGAGATAATTAAAAGTTGTACCAGCCAATTTTGCCACACTGCTCTAATAAGCCTCGCCCTAGAATTTAGGAGACTAGACCCAGCAAGACTTCATTTTAATACAGTTCTCTTGAGTTAATGTAAATGCACCTTGGATCTGTCACTTTGTACCGAGTCTCCCAAGCTAATGGTGGTGTGAAGAGTTCTGTGGAAGACCATCAGAGTCAGACCATGAAGACGTGGTTGGTATGAGAACAATGAAGGTAAATCCCTGATAAAAGCCTGCTTCAGGCTTCCCTGAACTGCGCAAGGGGACATCGGTTTCTCACTACAGTTCTGATACTCCTTAAACCTCACCAATTAAAGAAGTCTCAATCCTCTGAGAGGGAAATGTCAATGAAAAAAGTTATTTTCACTACTAAGGCTTAAGAGGAGAGAGCCAAATTTGAGTTTCTAAATGAGTCACAACTTTTCAAGAATTAACATGTATCTTACTAATTTTTGGAAACCACCTATTCCCCTAAGTGATATATGACATAATAAACTCCAGTAAAATGAAACAGGATTTGTAATGAGAGATCTCTAATTAAGGATCATAATTAAAAAAAATTTTTTTCCCCCGGGAAAGATTCGCTCTGAGCTAACATCTGTTGCCAATGTTTCCTCTTTTTTTTTTTTTCTCCCCAAAGCCCCAGTTCATAGTTGTATATTCTAGTCCTAGTTCTATGTGAGCTGCCGCCACAGCATGGCTACTGACAGGCAAGTGGTGTGGTTCCATGCCCAGGAACAAACCCAGGCCGCCAAAGTGGAACGTGCCAAACTTTAACCACTAGGCCATTAGGGCTGGCCCAAAATATTTTTTAAAGGAGGTGTAAATTGGGCCAGCCCCAGTGGCCTAGTGGTTAAATTCAGTGCACTCTGCTTTAGTGGCCTGGGTTCAGTTCCCAGGCACAGACCTACACTGCTCTGTTGGCCATGCTGTGCTGGTGGCCCACATGCAAAAAAAAGAGGAAGACTGGCACGGATGTTAGTGCCAATCTTTCTCAGCAAAAAGAGGAAGATTGGCAACGGATGTTAGCTCATGGCCCATCTCCCATCAAAAAATAAAGGAAGTATAAATTGCTCTTCTGAGGAGGCTTCCTCACAGAAGTACAGAACATAGCCTTCCAGTCTTGAGCTTTGAGACTCCTTTAGTTTCAAAGCCAGCTGCGTTTCCTTGTCATCTGCGATTCTACACATTCTTAATGCGTTTAGCAGCTGGCAGAAGCTCCATGCTGGCACTAAAACCAATTTTAAATTGTTTCCGAAAAATTATGCCTTTTTTTCCCCCTCAGACCTGGCCTCTTGCTCAGAGCCATTAGCCCCTGCTAGTCTGAGGACATTAACCTCTATAAACCTATTACAGTTCTAGGAAAGCTTGTCATGTGACCTATGGTTTCACATGTGCCGACCCTGGTAAACACAGGAAGAGGGTTCCTCATAAGTCATTGTGTTTCTAGGGAACCAGTTTGCCTACCGGCTTTAAAAGGAGTTAGAGAGGCAAAATTTGTTTAAATCACTGAGTCTTTCCACCTGAGTGATTAAACATTTCATTGTAACTCCCCCCCACCCCCCACAGGAAAGTGAAGAAGGGAATAGTTAGAAGTTTTTAAAGAAACACTTCAGCTGTTTGGAGCTCCTGCCCTGAAGAGAAACATTGTGTTAAAACAAACCAATCAATTACTAAGTAAAAGGCAGAACTGACCTGACTTGCTTCCCTGCCCTCCTCCCCTCCCAGCCTCAGAGGCCCACAGGTTAAGGAAAGACATGCTGCTGCTTCAAGTCTAACCTACTGACCCTTTTAGGTTATTTACACTATAGAAGGGAGCTTGAGAGAATCTGGGGACACGCCCCTGATCGAGCCTTAACAATAATAGTTGTCAGGTTTGAGTGATGCATTTATGAAGATCCCATCATAAAATGATGTTCTGCGTTAGAGCTGGGTTTGAGTTTTTTCCTTTTTTACTCAAGAGATAGGCAGGTAGAGAGAGAGAGAGAAAATAATAGGACACTTTGTTTCCCTAATCCCATTTCCCTTTCCCCTGAGACAAACCATCATAAATTTGGTGTGTTTATCTTTCTAGTGTATCCTTTTGTAGTTTGACCACCTGTGCTGGTCTCTGTGAAGAATATACAGTTTTGCTTTCTGTGTTTTGTTTTTTACTTGGTCTCAACATTTGTTTTTGAGATCTCTCCAGGGTGAACATTTCTAGATCTAGCGCGTGGCGTTTTAACTGCTCTGCAGTATTCCCTCAGGCTTAATTGTCTTGCTAATGAACTGTTTTGCTACTACAGACAACTCTGCGGTGAACACACTGTATGTAGGCTAACTGTTTTGCTACTACAGACAACTCTGCGGTGAACACACTGTATGTGTATGTGCTTCCCAGCACACACGAGGCACATGTAATGCAGTGGAAGCAGGGTGTGGGTCATGGCTCAGCCACTTACTAGCTCTCAGAGCTTGGGCAAATTACCTGACCTTTCTGTGCCTGATTTCCTCATTTGTAAATTGGAGGGAAATAACAGTACCCACTTGTTAGAGTTGTGAGGATTAAACGAAGTGAGCACTTAGAGCAGTGCCTGGCACATGGTAGGAACAAAATAGATGTTAGCCATAGTTGTCATCGTAAAATGATCAACCTAGGTGTGTTTGCTGGGTCACAGGATATTCACAGCTCAAACATTACTGCCAAATTCCTCTCCAAAATGGTGATGTCAGCTTACACTCCCACCAGTGGTTTCTGATATTTCCTGCTTTGCCACATATTCATTCACACAAGAATTTTAAGACTTTTTTTTTTTTGCCAACACGATGGGGTGAAAACAGTTAATTTTTACTTTATTTTGAACAGTAAAATAAATCTGCTTAATAAATAAATAAAGCTTGAATAAAATCTGCTTTAAAACGGGATTGCCATCTAGTGGTGGGAGAAGTAGACTGCAGTTACGGGGCAGAAGCCAAATATGGGTGGGCCTACAAGTATCTTGGGGGAATTGGGGTGTTCACTAACACAGGTCTAGTGTGAATTAAAGTAACTGCGTGAGAGTTCTTCTATTATTGTCTCCCCATGTTTAGGGAGCTTGTGACTTTCTCCTTGCTTTTTCCAGTACAGCGACATGGAGACCTGTCTGCACAGCCCTGTGTGGTCTCTTACAGCCAAATGAATCTGGGTCACTGGCTCAGAAAAAGAGAAGTGAGATAAATTAGGAGTGAGGCTATTTACAAACTGGCAGGCGACTGCAGGTCCAAGCAGGGCAGGCTTTCCTTAAGTGACCCTAACCCTCCAGTGGAGAGAGGGTCAAGTGCACCCATAGGGGCCATTCCCTCCAACCACCACAGAGGGCTGGTTAACTTCTTTCCAAATCAGGGGCTTGGACTGTCTACTGCAAAGACTTCTAAAATCACAGTCTAAGAAGACTTAAGAGTGCATGAAAATGTTAGACATTAATCATCAAAGACAGATACATTTTGAAAGATCTGTACATGAAAGATAAGGGTGTAAAAAAAGCAATGTTGCTGAAATATTATATAGTATGTCTTTAAATATGTACTGTCACTAAATTAGTAGGATATTAAAAACTAAAAAAAAAAACAAAGTCTAAACAAGCACAGGTCAGCTGTGATTGAAACATCCCTCAGGCCAATCTAGACTGTCCCATAGCACCAGGCTCACACCCATTTTTAAGCTGTTGTTTGTGTCAATGCCTTCGCCTAAAATAACTTCCCTTCATCCCTTTGTTCAGCCACATCTTCATTTTCCAAGTGCTTGGACCTGAACCCCAATCCTACCTGACGTCCAGCTCAAGTCTTACCTACTCCACAGGAAATGAGATGGCATAGTGCAGACAGCAGGAGCCTCAGAGTTAGGCAGACAAGGGTTCAATCCCAGCCCTGTGATGTGAGGTGCGTCACTTCCCTTCCCAAGGCCTGTTCCCACATCCATAATTTGGGGATAGTACTGACCCCAATGTTGTCAGAAAAATTAACGCAGGGAAATGTGTTCCACTGCTAGCAATGGAATAGGCACTGGACAAACATGAGTTCCTTCCCCCTCGGAGCTGACTGCAGTCAGCACATGATGATTCCACCCTTCACTGAACTCCTACGGTGCCTTTGTTTTTGCCACCCACCCATTGATTCTTATTTGTATTCTACCTTTTTCTGTCACTTAACCATTTCAGATGTGGATCATCTCCCCTGTTCATGGGACATGTGTATATCATTCTGCCCAGTGCTGAACAAATGTGAAGCATTCAGTACATGTAAACTGCTTGTTAAATGAACTGTCCCACATGTGAATGCCTCCTCCATTACCATAATCAGCAAT